TACTGAGATTGATAGCAGGTTCTTTTTTCTGTATATAGGAATTGTCTTCTCCAGGGGTAATCATAAGCAATTAGTTGTAAAAATATATCTCACCCGATAGTAATACCAATGCCAGAAAGCTGATTCTTGCTTCTTTTAGCCGGCTGCCGATGACTTGCAAGCGAGCCCAAGCTGCTTGTTTCTGCCCGTTGGCTGATTAGGGAGTTTCCTGGATCGAACGGGGGTGACCACCGTTCCCCCCGTGATCAACAGGCTTCCCCCCCAGTTCACCACCTCTCCAGGGTGGTTCTGACACCCTGGAGTGTCCCAAACAGGTCAGAATTCAGCCCAGGGGACAGAGCTCTGTCCTCCTGCTGCTGCCTCATTGCGACGTCAAGCCGGAAGTCCTATCAGTTTAGTCGTTAAGTTTTGTCTGACACTTCGTGACCCCATGGACCAGAGCACGCCAGGCTGTCCTGTCTTCCACTGCCTCCCAGAGTTGGGTCAAATTCATGTTGGTAGCTTCTGTGACACTATCTAACCATCTCGTCCTCTCTCGTGTCTTCTCCTCTTGTCTTCACACTTTCCCAACATCAGAGTCTTTTCCAGGGAGTCTTCTCTTCTCATGAGATGGCCAAAGCATTGGAGTCTCAGCTTTAGGATCTGTCCTTCCCGTGAGCACCAAGGGTTGATTTCCTTCAAAATGGATAGGTTTGTTCTCTCTGCAGTCCAGGGGACTCTCAAGAGTCTCCTCCAACACCACAATTCAAAAGTATCCATTCTTCAGTAGACAGCTTCCTTTATGGTCCAGCTCTCACTTCCATACATCGCTACAGGAAAAACCATAGCTTTGACTATTCGGGCCTTTGTCAGCAAGGTGATGTATCTCCTTTTTAAGATGCTGTCTAGGTTTGTCATCGCTTTCCTCCCGAGAAATAGGTGTCTTTTGATTTCATGGCTGCTGTCACCATCTGCAGTGATCATGGAACCCACTGCCTCCATATCTGTTTGCCAGGAGGTGATGGGACAAGTGGCCATGATCTTAGTTCATTTGATGTTGAGCTTCAGACCATTTTTGGTGCTCTCCTCTTTCACCCTCATTAAGAGGTTCTTTAAATCCTCACTTTCTGCCATCAGAGTAGTATCATCTGCATATCTGAGGATGTTATTTCTTCTGGCAATCTTAATTCCGGTTTGAGATTCCTCCAGTCCTGGTTTTGCATGATGTATTCCCCATACCAGTTAAATAAGTAGGGGGACAATATATAGCCTTGTATTCCTTTCCCAAATTTGAACCAATCAGTTGTTCCATATTCAGTTCTAACTGTTGCTTCCAGTCCCACATATAGATTTCTCAGGAGACAGATAAGGTGGCCAGGCACTCTCATTTCTTTAAGAACTTGCCATAATTTGCTTTAGTCCACACAGTCAAAGGCTTTTGTGTAGTCAATGAAGCAGAAGTAGATATTTTTCTGGAACTCTCTGGCTTTCTCCATAATCCAGCACATGTTAGCAGTTTGGTCTCTAGTTCCTCTGCCCCTTTGAAATCCAGCTTGTACTTTTGGGAGTTCTCAGACCACATACTGCTGAAGCCTACCTTGGAGGATTTTGAGCATAACCTTGCTAGCATGTGAAATGAGTGCAATTGTACGGTAGTTGGAGCATTCTTTGGCTTTGCCCTTCTTTGGGACTGGGATGTAGACTGATCATTTCCAATTCTCTGGCCACTGCTGAGTTTTCCAAACTTGCTGGCATATTGAATGTAGCACCTTAACAGCGTCATCTTTTAAGATTTTAAATAGTTCCACTGGGATGCCATCACCTCCACTGGCCTTGTTGTTAGCCATGCTTTTTAAGGCCCACTTGACTTCACTCTCTAGGATGTCTGGCTCAAAGTCAGCAACCACACTATCTGGGTTGTCCGGGATATTCAAATCTTCCTGATTTAATTCCTCTGTGTATTCTTGCCACCTCTTCTTGATGTCTTCTGTTTCTATTAGGCCCCTACCATTTTTATCCTTTATCATGTCCATCTTTCCACAAAAGGTTCCTTTAATATCTCCAATTTTCCTGAACAGATCTCTGTTTTTTCCTTTTCTATTAATTTCCTCTAATTCTTTGGATTGTCCATTTAAGAAGGCCCTCTTGTCTCTCCTTGCTATTCTTTGGAAGTCTGCATTCCATTTTCTGTAACTTTCCCTATCTCCCTTGCGTTTTGTTTCCCTTCTCTTCTCTGCTATCTCTTTCCCTTCTCTTCTCTGCTATTTCTTTCCCTTCTCTTCTCTGCCTCACTGGACAGCCACTTCGCTTTCTTGCATTTCTTTTTCTTTGAGATGGTTTTTGTTGTTGCCTCCTGTACAATGTTACAAGCCTCCAGCCATAGTTCTTGAGGCACTCTGTCCACCAAATCAAGTTCCTTAAATCTGTTCTTCACTACTGTGTATTCATGAGGGATTTGGTTTAGGTTATACTTGACTAGCCCCATGGTTTTTCCTACTTCCTTCACTTTAAGCTTGAATTTGGCTATGATCAGAGCCACAGTCCGTTCCAGGTCTTGTTTTTGCTGACTATATAGAGGCTCTCCATCTTTGGCTGCAGAGAACAAAATCAATCTAATTTTGGTATTGCCCATCTGGTGATGCCCATGTGTAGATTCGCCTCATGTGTTGTTGGCAAAGAGTGTTTGCGATGACCGGCTTGTTCTCTTGACAAAACTCTATTAGCCTTTGCCCTGCTTCGTTTTGAACTCCAAGGCCAAACTTACCTGTTGTTCCTTTTATCTCTTGACCCTACTTTAGCATTCCAGTCCCCTAGAATGAGAGGAACATCTTTCTTTGGTGTCAGTTCTAGAAGGTGTTGTAAGTCTTCATAGAATTTCAATTTCAGCCTCTTCATCATCGGTCGTTGGTGCATAAACATGGATTAGTGTAATGTTGAAAGTTCTGTCTTGGATTCGTATTGAAATCATTCTATCATTTTTGAGATTACAGTGGTGCCTCACAAGACCAAATTAATTCGTTCCACGTTTAATGCAGTCTAGCTAAAATATTGTCTTGCGAAGCGTGGTTTCCCATAGGAATGTATTGAAATTTAATTAATGCATTCCTATGGGGGAAGAAAAAGTCAGAAACCAAAACAAAAAAATCAGAAAAAAATCACTTACCAGGAGCCTTCTCCTCACAGTGCTTTGGTAGCACCAGAAAAGTCGGACTCTGTGTGAACAGAGTGCCAAACAGCTGAGGGTCAGCGACCAACAGTGAGGCGGTAGCCAATTTGGAGAGGCGGCAGTCAATTTGGAGAGGCGGCAGCCATTTGGAGAGGCAGCAGCCTCGGTCTACTGCACCTGGTGACTTTTTTCTGCCTTGGTTTCTGACTTTTTTCTCCATAGGAACACATTAAATTTCTATGCATTCCTATGGGAAACCAGCCTCGCAAGATGAAAAATATCTCACAAGACCTGTTCTCAGAAGACCACGCACCAAAAAACTCACAAGACCCATTCGTCTTGCGAGTTTTTCATCCCGCGAGGCATTTGTCTTGTGAGGCACCATTGTATAAATACAGCTTTTCCCCCTCTTTTGTTGACCTTGAGGGCTTCTCCATTTCTTCTACAGGATTCTTGCAGACAGTAGTAGATACAAGAATCATCTCAATTGAATTTGCCCATTCCTGTCCATTTTAGTTCACTGACGCCCAGGATGTCAATGTTTATTCTTGCCATCTCCTGTTTGACCACATCCAGCTTACCAAGGTTCATAGATCTTACATTCCAGTTTCCCATGCAGTATTTTTCTTTGCAGAATCGGACTTTCATTTTATTTCCAGACACGTCCACAGCTGAGTGTCCTTTTGGCTTTGTACCTGTCCTCTGCTCTTCCTCAGTAGCATGTTGTACACCTTCCGACCTAGGGGCTCATCTCCCAGCGTCATATCTTTTAGCCTTTTGTCTGTCCATTGAGTTTTCTTGGCAAAGATACTGGAGTGGCTTTTATTGGAGGTGACTGACCCCCATGACTTCGAACCCTCACAGACCTGTCCGTCTTGGGTCTCCCTGAAAGGCACAGCCCATGGCTTCTCTGAATTACTCAAGACCCTTCGCCACCATAAGGCAGCAGTGCATGCCCCAACTCTGAGTGCCTATTGAAAACAAGCCTTTTCTCCCCCAAAAAGGGAGGAGTGGGTTTTGAGTCGAGTCTGAATCACTGGGGGGGAAAACCAGTTGAGTCACTTATTTATTTTTATCATTTCCTGAAGACGCTCGACTGGAGTTCACATCCCTGCCTATTATTACCAGCCTCAATCAGCTCTTGCTAAATATTGTCCCTTCTTTTTGGGACTCCATATAACTGAAGGTATGTCTTCAACTTTTCCAGGTGTTGGAAGAAGTATAGAACCAGACTTCATGTACTTCATCTTAAAGTAAAAGTAAATAAGATTAAAACTTTACCGTAAAAACTGCATTGCTTAAAATATTGAGTGATTTTATCCTTAACATTTTTAAAAATAAAGAATTCTTTCTTCGTTTCTAAGTCTGTTTATTGTATTTCCCGCACATGTTGCTGCTGGGTCTTGGAAACAGTGATGAAAGAAGTAAGGTGAGAATTGGTGCAAATCCAGAGGAGGAAAACTGAATGAATGCTGTTGGGATGGCTGTTCCCTTGGTGGTGTTGCGGGAGAGGCAGAAAAGGGGCGTGTGTGTTGTCCCGGTTCTCTAAGGGTTAAAGGCAGTGAGTTGGGATTCCTAGAGGGGAAGCGGCGAGTCCTCCAGACTGGAAGTGTCCTTCCCAAAAGAACCCCCCCACTTCCTGTGCCTCGTTTTTCAACCTCCGGAGAGAAACGGGGGCTTGAGCTCCTTCCCGGGGCGTCTGGGCGGCGTTTCCCTTCCCGGGCGAGCTGAGCTCCCTGCCTGGCCCTTTCGGGGGGTGAAGCCGAGCCCCCTCCGGAGAGGGTGGCAGAGGAGCCCCCTTGGGGTGGGGGGACACCCCAAACTCTTCCCCCCAACCCAGCTCGGCCGAGGGAGGGAGGGAGGCTTCCTCCAGGGAGCCCTTTTCGT